ATGTCACGAGTTCGAATCTCTTGCCAACACTCCCTCGGTCGAGCCAGTTACACCGAACTTGTCTAGTGCGGTTTACCTCTCCTGTGTGGTTTGTGGGCTATTGCACATGGAACGGGGTTTACCTAGAGTGCACTCACAGTGGTAGGGTTTCCGCTGACGGGTAACGGCTGCAGGTTCCTACGTCAACAAAAATTAAATAAAATAATTTCTTTGACCAATTGACGCGTATAGCTGTTAATTTAATTAGAGTTGTCAAAATAAATGTGATTCGATAGAAAATTGCGAGGCCCGAACTTTTCCTTTTCTGCATGTTTTTTTTTTCACTGACTTGTAGTTTGGAAAAGAAGAAGATAATAATCGAAAAATTCTTCTGCTGGCCGGTGCTTGTTCATGGTCTGAAAGCATGTTTGGCTAAGCTTATAAAGTGATAATCTTAGCCAAACAGGCTATTGTATCAATCACTCAATGTCTCAGTACTTTGACCAATCCTGCAATTTACTTAAACAGTAACTATTGCACTCGAGATAGGTCAATTTCATCTATGGTTACTGAACTTTCATAGAAATCTTATTTAGGTCACTAAACTTTAATTCAGTCTCAATTGTTCAATAAACCTTATTTTAATTTCAAATTGATGAAATTGCTTAATCGAAAATCATGCTAAAATGTATTTTCTACTAATCAATGCATAGCATGACGACTTACCATTGTGTCGTCGTAAAGTGTTAAAACTAAAAAAAAGAATTTAACATTTTCATTTAAAACGTTGTCATAACTCATTTTATATTTTCATTCATACGATATTACATAGCGATTATGTGGGGATCAATTACATTATATGCCCCTGTTTGAACATCATTATATAAAAATTCATTTTAAATTATACATTTTTTTAATAAAATAATTTTACATGTAATTTTAATTTTTTTCTATATTTTAATCACACTTTCTCCAAAATACCACTGTCTAGGTTATGATTGGTGATGAAATGTAATAGTGATGAACTTTTAAGCTAATTTGAAGTTGAATGACTGCCGATGAAATTTACACATACAGGACTGATTTTCCAGTAACCATCAAGACAGACAGCCAGAAATACGGTAATAGTACTGTCTGTCTGACAGTGGAAATCAACCCAACGCAGGTAGACAAGACAACTGTCTAGCTGTCTGTCAGTGGTCAAATGTCATCTTCTGCGTGCCTATATAAAATATTATATATATAGAAATTTAGATCCACTCAAGATTCAAGAAGAAAGCTCAAATGCACAATGCACTAGCAGCAGCATTAGTTGTTTTTTTCTCTCTTTTCGAAACACCCAACCAACAATACATAGGAAACTAAACTCTTAAGTTACTTAAAATTCTCTGCAAACCCTTGTCTTCCCTTTGCCTATTTCACTGTTTTCTTTCAGATTCAGCTTAACAGAATGAATAAGCAAGACATGTTGAAGATCCAGGTATTTTTCAGCTCTATGCTTTAAGAACTTCGTGTGGGTTATTCGACTTATTTGTAGTTTTGCTTATATATGTTTCCGTTGTTTGCTACAGACTTGTGTTCTGAGAGTTAACATACACTGTGATGGTTGTAAGCACAAGGTTAAAAAGAAACTGCAGAAGGTTGAAGGTAAAATTGAGTTTATACCATGAAGTTTATGTTTTTTCCCATATTGTAACTTTGTCTATGTTCTCGGTAACTGGTTCTTGGTTCGTGCTAAGGGAGGATTTAGTCCGATGAGAACCGGCACAAAACTTAAGTCAAATCTTATGAAATGAATCTTAATATGAAAAAAGTAAAATTTGTGTAAAGGGCAGTGTAAAACTTAGTCAAATCTTGTGACGCGAATCTTCGGGTGAAAAAATATGTCTAGTCCATTTTAAAATTTACTGGGAACGAAGCTTGGTCTGATGTTGTTTCTATATGTTCCCACTGCAATTCGATTCGATTTTAATGATTTTTTGGGATTAATTGCTCTTTTAGGAGTATATTCGGTAAAAATTGATGCGGACCAAGGGAAGGTGACAGTATCTGGAAATGTTGATCCTGCAACACTTGTAAAGAAGCTCGATAAGGCAGGGAAGCATGCCGAGCTATGGGGAGCACAGAAAGGTCCCAATCTATGGAACAATCAGTTCAAAGACATTCAATTTGACAATTTTAAGGGTGGAAAAGATAATAAATCCCAAAAGGGTGGGAAGGACCAACAAAAGGGTGCAAATCAAGCTCTTCAGCAGATGCAACAGAGCAAAGGATTTAAAGATGTGAAATTTCCGGTCAAGGACCAAAAATCTGTCAAGTTCAAATTTCCTGAAGAAGAGTTTGATGATGAGTTCGATGATGAGTTTGACGATGATGATGATGATGAGTTCGAAGATGAGTTTGACGATGATTTTGATGGTCAACATCAACCCAATAAAATGATGAATAAGGGCGGCGGTGGCCAGGGACTACATGGGCCTAATACAATGAAAAATGGTACTGGGAAAGGTGGTGGAGGTAATAAGGGTGGAGATGGGAAGAAAAGCAGTGGGATTGACATGTTTATTAAGGGCTTAACTGGGAAAAGTAAGAATAAGAACAGCAAAGAAGGGAAGAACGGCAAGGGAGGAAATCAAAATCACGGTGGTGACAAAAAAGGCGGAGTTGCAAAGGGTGGCAAGGGTACGAAGGATAGTGGATTTGGTGAGAAGAACAAGGATAATTGGAGTAAGAAAGGGGGCGAAAGTTTTAACAATTTTAACGGGGGCCAAAAAATGGGCAAGAAGCAGCAGGGGTTCGATGTGATTCAGAAAAGCAGTGCCGGAGGTAGAAGTATGGGTCCAATGGGACAGATGGGTCACTATCCGATGGGTCAAATGGGGAATATTCCGGCAATGCAAGGATTTCCAGCTATGGCTGGTATGAATTCCGGTCACTACCAAGGGATGGGACAGGGAAACCCATATATTATGCAACAAAACATGGCACAGATGATGATGAACCAGCAGCGGGCGAATGGCCAAGATATGTACCATCCTATGATGTACGCGCGCCCGCCAATGAATTATGGACCACCTCCTGGTGATCAGTATACTCACATCTTCAGTGATGAAAATGCTACTGGTTGCAGTATCATGTAAACTAGCAGAATGTGTTTTTTTTTTTAATTCGTTTTCTAATATTATGTTTGTGACATTTTGGTATTCTGTCTAAGCCATTAGCCAAGGAATATGTTACTGGTTCTTATTCTCGATGAACTTAAAGTCGATTATATGAATCTTCATTCTGTTCTATTCATGTGTGATGATTTGAATATGAAAGTCACAAGACACAAGCTAAAGAAAATCACTTAGAATGTTAGATTTCCTGTATAGAAGATTTGCAATGGGGTAATGCATCTTTCAGTTTTTGTAAAATACTTTATGGAAAGATGCAAAAATGCTTCCTTTTGCCTTTAGATGGTACAGTCAACAAATGCAGTAAGGCTGTTCTACAATTTGAAGTCACTCGTTTTAACTTTATTTTAGCAGATCAGGGTAAAGGAAAGGCAGTTTTGTTACAAGTACGTTGAGTTTAACATCACGAATGTCATTGTTTCACCTGACAATACTTTGAATCATTAATTTAACAACACTTGATCAACTCAATTGCACGATTTTTCACACATCACATAATGTCATTCATGATATCATCAAGAATGTGCAACTAGCATATTTCAAAGGAATAACACGCTTAGTTTTGCTCACTAATAGTCTTGTATCTCAATAAAATGAAAGAATTGAATCTTGTCATGAAAAAAAAAATTCATGTAGTCGACTTTACGGTAGGAATGTTCAAAGCATTCTGGAGGTGCATTAAGATTAACATAGAGAGAGGCATCCTGCTGCTCTTCCTTATACCATTGTACTTTCACTGTAAGAAAGTGAGATTCCATAGCTTCACTTAAAAACAGAAAAAAATTACTAAATTCTTGTTACTTTGGACTAGAGAAGGTTGTGGTCCTCGAGATTTTGGCTAGCCACCCATGTGCATTTAATTTAGCCTTCTTCCTCGAGATGCTTTTAAGAAAGAAAATCTTTGGGTAGGTTGGATTGTTTGGTAGTTGGTACTGGGCAGATAGAGTAAAATATTTTGCTTTACTCTATCTGCATTACACGTGTAAATATTAGCCCTTATTTGGTGGATATTAAAATCAGATTTTTAGTAGATTTTGGAAAAAGTTGATGAAATGAATAGTTGAAAGGCTGTGAATCATATAAAATATGTGATTATAGTTGATTGTTGACTTTAATTTCGATTAAAATTTGAATTTTAATTTGTACTAAATTTGGGCATAATGACCATCCTCACATGCCCAATGGGGGTGGAGACTGGAAAGTCTACATTGGGCAGAGGCCTTTGGATTATTTACTTTTTGCATTCTTTGGTCCACTAATGACTTTTATGTTATAGGTAAAAGCCCATTTTCTGTCCAAAGAGATTTTAAGCCATCACATCATCTGTGCTAAGCCCAAATAATCTTATATATTTATATTCATTAATAGGGGTAAATGATGCCTTGAGCCCATTTTTCAAAACTCATTTTTCTCCAAATCATTTTCAATCTGACACTTCATGGAATTCACAATTTTCAATCACACATTTCATAATTTTGTCAAAACCAAACAAGACCTATATCCCATCTTCAAGCAAAGGGAAGGGGCAATTTCTTCTAATCCTCTAATATGCCAGCTGTCTTGAACAATTGCCAAATGTAGGTGCCTCCACGCCCACCTCGACCCTCTTGCACCTACACAGATGATAATCATCATAATGTCCCAATCCTAACATGCTAAATTTGGCTTGTAGACAGACAATTGCAAAACAAACAAAAGACATTGACAAATCCTGACGTGAAAAATCACAATATGGTTAAGATTGACACCTTTTACTTGTAATAGTCTATCACTTCCCAGTCTTGCCACCCTATAGATCATTGCTTGCAATTAGTTATACCATCCATACTTGGCAAATATCTTCTAATGGCTTCAATCTCCAACTTTCTTCTCATTTTCTTTGCAACTCTCTTTATCACATCAGAATCCAGAGTTGTTAGAGCCCCCTTCAGACCTAATTCACTCGTTCTGCCGGTCCACAAGGACACTGCAACCGGCCTTCATGTAGCCAATATTCGCAAGAGTACACCTCAAGTATTGGTACCTTTTCTAGTTGATCTAAATGGAAATTTCTTGTGGGTGGTTTGTGATCAGAACTACTCGTCATCATCCTATAATGCTCCCTTTTGCCACTCCACACAATGTTCACGTGCAGGAGACCATTACTGCCATAAATGTCACTCTGCAGCTCGGCCCGGTTGCCATAACAATACTTGCGCTGTCCTGACTATAAATCCTCTAACTCATCGTTATACTGTTGGTGAACTTGCTCAGGATGTCGTCTCATTTCAGTCTATGCAAGGATCAAAAATGGCTCAAATTGCCACTATTCCTAACTTCCTCTTTGCCTGTGCACCTTCATCTCTTTTGCAAGGACCATTCCCAAAAAGTGGTCAGGGAGTGGCTGGATTAGGTCATGCTCCAGTGGCTCTACCACTACAACTCGCTTCTCACTTCGGGTTTCCACAGCAATTTTCTTTGTGCCTGTCTTCCTCCACCAACACTAGTGGTGGCATTTTCTTTGGTAATGCCCCTTACAAATTAGCAACCGGCTTCAACAACATTTCTAAGTCAATGGCCTACACCCCTTTATCCATTGGTCCACAGGCAGAGTACTTTATTCTAGTGAAGTCAATAAAGATAAACAACAAAACGGTTCCTTTTAACACTTCTTTACTATCAGGCACCAGAGGATTTGGAGGAACATTGATCAGTACAACAACACCTTACACAGTTCTTGAGCACTCAATATTCAAAACCTTTGTTAGTTTTTTCATTGAACAGTTTGTAGGCGTCCCTCAAGAGGAATCAGTACCACCCTTCGGACTCTGCTTCAACTCCAACTTGCCACCAACCCATGTGGGTGGATATCCAAACATTGATTTTGTTATGCAAAATAGAAACGTTAGTTGGACCATATTGGGCGTTGATTCACTGGTAAATGCACGACCAAATGTATCTTGTTTAGCCTTTGTTGATGGAGGGCTAAATACCAGAGCTTCAATCGTGATTGGGGCGTATCATTTGGAGGACCATCTTCTTCACTTTGATCTATCAAATTCTAAGGTGGGTTTTAGCTCTTTACGTAAATCCCATCCTGTGAATTGTGCTAACTTCAACTTCACCTCTGCACTCACTCCGGAGGAAGATAGAATGAGAGACTGAAATTTGCTGATGGTGTAACAAATGTAATCTTGAAGCGTGTTTAGTTTTTTAGCAGTATATTTCCCCCCTCTTGCAATGGGCTATCTTTGTAATATAATCGTCCATGGATATGAAATAAATATTTTCCTAAGTCTTTAATCTTATTCATTTGTAGGTTTTATTTTTTTGTAAAGATTAGCTAAGCATCGAGCCAACACGAAGATTGTTAGGTAGTAATCAAAAGATAAGAAGTGACCCGACTCAAAATTGATCATACAACTGAAACGGTAAAGACGGACAAGCATGTCACATACGTTCTAAGAAAAAGTTTTTGGATCAATTTGACACCTACAAACAAGTTCTAAGAAAGTCTTTCAAGTTCATCATACAACACATTCAAGAAAATAGTGAGATGGAGATGCTATTTTAGAAAATTAATGCCACTTAGACAATAATCTAATAAACTTTATACATTTAGGATTATCATAGACTCGAAGTCAGCAATTTATGAAAATGAAAAACCTTGTGTGTTTGAATCTATTTTTGAAGAGAATGTAAATTTTGGAATGGTGATTGATGTGAGAATGTGTGGTGGAAAAGTGATGAAGTTTTTTTGATTTGTGTGTAATATTATTTTATTTGGAGAATGTGTGGTTGAAATGAAGAATGAAAATGAAAATAAAAATGAGAATGAGAAATTAATGGGTGTCAAACGAGAGCAGAGTAAATTACACTTTGCAGGATTATTCTTTGAAGTATTTATTCAAGCGTCGATGTCTTTTTGACCATCACATCCCCAATTTATACAATGATCAAAAGTCGAAGTAAGGTTGTTTAAGAAAGTGGAATTGAGAGGATTAAGGTGGCAAATGAAAGTATAGGACATGGAGATTAGAAATTTATGGTCCGACAGATGAAAAAAAATAATAATAATAAAATAAGCAAGAATAATTGATAAACATGAAATCCAATCTTATGGATAACATCAAGAGGTGCCACCAATTCCTCGTGTGGCTCGACACGGTCTAACCTTAGACTCGACATGACCTATTTCTTGTGTGTGCTATTTTGCAGGACAATCACATATGATCGATCCAATTTGAGATAGGTTTTTCTTTTTTGATTATTGTGAATTTAAAATGGAAGATAAAGGATGAAAAAATTAAAATTATTATTAAACGATTGTGAAATAAATTGTACAATTTTATTAATAAAAATACTTTAACACGATATATATAATTATTATGTCTAGGACTCTAATATTCATGTAGGATAATTGTTTCAATATCAAATACCGGATTTACACACTGGATACCGTATATGCAGATTGGATACCGGATTTGCAGTATGGATACTATATATGCAGTGGCAGATACACCGATTTTGCATATCATAACAGATTAAATTGTACATATAACAAATCCAATGATTCGTTGCAGTAAGAAATAACAGGTAAGTTAAATAATTACAAAACATTAATATGCAACATCAATATGCGAATCGAGTAAGAACAAGTAATTAAAACTGTATAAAACTTTTAATCCGAGGCCTGTGTTACACACAGTTTTCTTAAAACAGATTTGCCCCCTCATCGTACGTGCTTGAGGTAGTATAAGCGTCTGCTTCCCAGGATACAACGGAGAAACCAGTAAAATCCGAGCACATTAGATTCTACTCCGGCGAACTGAACAAGTGTCTGAAAAAAATCACCACAAACTCGAACAGAAACAGAAATGCAGAAAAACAGAAACTGGACACAGATGAATTTGCAGATGAAAATTCGTGTGTTGAATTGTGGAAAACCGAGACACATATAAAGACAGGCTGCACATTCATCTCATAGCAATTAAAACAGGAGTTTTTGGAGTTTCAACTGTTTCAGAAAATGAAAAGTCAGTTGGAACGAGGGGCCATTTTTGCTCCTTTCGGTCCGACATTCGTGTACGCAGGTCGCGCCCTCACACAAGTTCAAGGTCCGCAGCTTATTTCGGTCCAAGATTTGCACCCCCCTGCGCGCGCACGTGGAGAGAGCCTGTATGCTACACATGATTACACCACTCTAAAGTGTAATCCTTTATAAAGTGGTTTTAATTTTCATCCACTTCCTATGTGGGACAAACATTAACTTTTTTTAGTTTTCCCACCAATAAACTCCTTTCACATGGCATACTTTGAGTTTCAATTTCTCATTCACCCGAGCATCATTTTTGACAAGTAAGTATATGATTTCGATGTACTCACGGAGGATAACACAAATCAACTTTCATCTTTCAAAATAGCCAACCGGGTCCCGCTCAAAATTAGTGCCAAAGTCAGCCCACTTTTCAGTTTTTTCCAACAATTCATCTAAAAATACTTCACTAAACCACTTTAAGAAAATTATTTTTATTTTCAATAAAAACTTACTGACTTTAATCAAGCATTTCTACATCTATAGATTACGTGGTATGTTAAGACACAGGATATGCTGACTTGACATTGATTATTTAATATGGATTTGGCCCATCAAATCAAGAAATCTCGTCTTGGGTTGGAGCTCGGCCCATTAGCCCCACTCGGCCTATTTTCACTTCTCTATATACTTGTAAGCTCATTTCACAAAAGATATGTTTTTCTCGGCCGATGACATTTGATTCCTAACAGGTCATTCGAGTGCGCATGTGACACCTACGTGGAGGAGAGGTGGTCAGGATTTTGTTGACATATTTTTTAGGTCAACGCCTAATATTAACTAATATTCTTTTTTTCCTTCGAAAAGCACTTTAAGCTTTAGAAAAGCTCTCCAAAACACACAAAAACTATATTATCTCAATAAGTTGAATTTCCAATTGATAAATGTTGTACGAGGAGATTGAAACTAAAAACGAGATAATATCATATACATCCCTTGAATTAATTGATAATATCATAGACACTTCTCACATTTAGAAAATTACACTAACATTCCTATAATAAATATTTATTAACCAACTACTATTATAAGTGTGATTACCAATTTTACCCCGAACTAAAATTATTTTTACAATTTCCCTTCCAAATACTATTTTTTTTCTTTTTATTTATTGTATTTATATGTAATTTTAGTAATGTTTTAATCCTTTTCATTCTTTATTGAATGCAATGTACACATGAAGTTCTATCCTTTGTTCTTTATGTCATATGTACCTTAATTAAGTAAAAGAGTTTTTCGTCCTTAAATTAGCTTTTAAGGTATTCTTTTCTTAGAATTACTATTTAACTATTTAAACACTTCATAGGTTGTCGTAATATTTGGTTGAATTTGATTATTAATAAAATTGAGAGATTTCTCATTTTTCTGTCAAATTTTGGGCATTCTTTGCGAAGAAATAACAAGTTATTTTACCATCCATGTCATGGTTCCTTTGTCCCACATCGGGAGTTCCACATGAAAATGTGGGATTTATAACCCTTTGGGCACCATTCCCTTATCAGCTAGCTTTTGAAGGTGAGTTCTACCCAAGAGATTGTGACATTGGTATCAGAGCAGGCACCACGTTCCCCGATTGCAATCGAGCGGCGCGGATGGTGACGCCGGCATAGCAGTATTCGTCCGGAACTAGTCATGGGCTAGTGTAAAAAGCTAGAGGGGCTAGTGCAAAGCCAGTCCAGCGTCAGCGTCGGCGTCGGGATCGGAAGCGTGGCGGTTTGTTATGTTTCCCTTGTCCCACAACGGGAGTTCCACATGAAAATGTGGGGTTTATAACCATTTGGGCACCCTCCCCTTATCAGCTAGCTTTTGAGGGTGAGTACTACTTAAGGGGCTGTGACAATCCAACATCCAATATTTATAAAATCAACGAGTCTTGGAGCGTGTTGAGTCATTTATGCTTCACGTTGCATCAATCAACATAACTATCAAATACATGTATAGAAATCAGGCAGTGCATGCATGAATGCCAATCTTCTATGAACAAGCAAATTTATAACTTCTGGTGTTCCTTCTTTTGAAATCAAATGTTTTAGCATATAAGGTTGTTAAAATTGGATTGTGACCCGAATTCTCATTCAGTATTTGATTGAAAATACTGTTGGAGGAGTATTGAGAGTTGGTAGCAGATTTGAAGATGCCTCGAATGAGTACGAATTCTCATTGAGTATTTGATTGAATATACTGTTGGAGTATTACTGAGAGTTGGTAGTATATATGAAGATGCCTCGAATGAGTTCATGGTGAATTTGACTCATATTTCATCACAAATTCTCTATTACTAGTTTTACTCATTGTGTTGAGACTTTACTCTATATTAAATTCTTCATATATTAATTCTCCTAGTATATTAGGGAATATTTGGTTATAAATATGTGATTTACAATATATATTGGAATTATCAATTGTCTAATTAGTTATTGGTCCAAGACATTATTTGTAACTCCTTACTATTGATTGTAGTGAATTCTCCACCACTGTTTGTGATTTTCCCAAATTTGGGTTACCACGTAACTCTTGTTTTCTTTGTGATCCATTATTTCATATTACTCATATTATTCTCGTCTTTATTATTTGGCTCGATTCTCAACAAGTGGTATCAAAACGATTCTTGTATCTTGTTTGGTTCATAACAAAGGTTTTGTAACAGCAAAATTTTACTCGTATATTTAACGGAAGAAATGTTAGGAATTAGATGGTAATGAATATTTCGCAATGAAAGATTAATTTGAGGATGCAAACATGGGCGGACCCCACGTGAGGTCATGTGGGTCAAGTGACCTCACAAATTTTTTTGATTTTTGCTTGTGTCATAACTTTGTAGTTTTTCTCTCGTCTCGATAACAAATTGATCGCCCACTTGTTTGTTATTACAATTTCTATTCTCATATCATTTGAATCTGAGAATTATTGTCGACCTCATTGCTTGTTATCTTGCAATTCTTGTCTAAAAGTTCGACAAATGACAGATAAACGTAATAATGATTATATTGTTTAAATGATTTTAGGAGAATGGTCGTTGACTCGTTGGTTAGCTTCACTTGGTTTCAATGTTTATTCAGTTTAGATAGCG